CCGGGCAGCCACCTGGATCGAACATACCTGTATCTCGCCTCTGCTGGCGCTCCTCATTCGGTTAATTCTGCGTGCTCTGTAAATCGTCGTCGAATTTGGTATATGGCTCCATCGTGACACCGTCTGTATGACCCACCGCGGCCAAGCTGCCGTCTGGTGCCCCCGGTCTGGTTTGTACCTCTCCGGAATGCACCTCTCCCTCCAACTTTGTTCCATTTGCTGTCGGCTCTTCGTTTGTTTCATGAATTGCTTGGGCCTCCTCGCCACTCGTTACGCTCAAGCCTGCAGGCTGTATTGACGGACTCGCTTCTTGGCTTTGATCTTGTGGCATAGGAACTGCTGGGGCTTGTGTGTGTGTACCGTCTCGGGGTTGTGGCTGAGCAATGGTAGCCGGCGTCGAGTGATGTGACGTTTCTGTCAAGTCATTCGTAGCCGATGGCATGCTCTCTGCCGCTACTTTCGAGACATTCGCCTGGGTTTCGGGATGAATCTCGCGGCCACTGCTGGCTTCAGGTGCTTCATCTGTACTGCTCTTGCTCGCCTCGTGCGAAAGAGATTGGCTATCCGTCAGCACTTGTGTTTCGTCTTGTTCTTGCTTTCCCTCCTGTTGCTGCTGCTGCTGCTGCTGCGTCTTCTTCTTTGGCGGCAGCTCGTCTTCCCGAGGCTTTCGTCCATACACGACGTACATGCGCGTGTAGAGATGTAGCTCCTTGCTCTGGAAACTTTCACGGCATTTGGACACCAGGCTATCGACCTCCTCTGTAGACATGCCGTCCGCCTGGAAGATCTTGGCGCTCACGCCGTCGAGCATCTCCAGGCTGTTGGCTTGCATGTACTGTCCGATCCGGCGCTCCCTAGGGTCTTCGGGCCATGGCTTATTGGGGGCCAGCAATATCTTCTCCGTGACGTCGACGAAGCCCGTGTCGAGCAGCAGCTGCTTGTAGCGCCTCGCGATGAACATGTCGCGGCCAAAACGCTTCGCACCATTGAAGACCCGCTGGCACCACTCCCACAGCGGCGCGCCGATGAGGGCCTGCTGATTCGCCTCGTCCTTGCCAAACACCCCCGGGTCGTAGTCGTGGTACTCGACCCATCCACCAGGCTGCAGGTTGTCGTAGACCTTCCGCAGCACGCCGACATGATCGTTGAAACAGGTCAGCATGGCCCGCAGGTGGATGTAGTCAAAGAGGCGGTCAAAGACCCATTCCTCTTCGACATCGTCTCGCTCAAACGTGCAGTTTGATGGGATGCTTCCTTCTGGCGGCTGAATCAGGCTCAGATCGGTGCCCACCACGTGGGATGCCGGATGCTGCTGGGCGAATTCAATGGCCCAGATGCCAGTCCCGGTCCCGATATCGAGGACCTGCTTGGGTTCGTCTGCAAAGGGGACCCATGACAAGTCGCCAAAGAGCAGAAGACGCCACATCTCGTGGGCCAAGTCCAGGCGCTCTTGCTCGAGCGCATCGTTGGGCAGCAGATACTTGCCCTCACGGTAGCCATTGTACGTCCTGCCGTGCTCCTCGACGGACGCTGGATCGGGAATGGTAAACCCCGTTGGCTTGCGGCTGCTGCCCGAGCTGTGACTGGAGCCTGTTTTCGACTTGGCCGACACGGCCGATGTCGAGATGGCAGAGTGCCCAGAGGCTACCGAAGGTTTGCGGTCCTAGGCCGGCCATTAACTTTCAGACTTTCCACGACGAAAAAATGGTAGAAAACAAGGACGGGAGAGGAAGAGAAATCGAGGGAGAGAGAGAGATACACTGGTAGGCAAGGTACCTAGTACTCGGGACTCACTTTAATCTCCGCTTCGTGCACCATGACTACGAGACGGCCTCGTTTGGTGGTACGTCGCAACGCCCACGACAATACTTTTATGGAATTCAGAGGCCCCAAGACTGCTTGTGCGCCACAGGTCCAGGGATCGATTGGGTGTATCAAACCTCGAGAATGGAAGCCGATTGTCAAAGTTGTGGAATAAAAAGAAAAGAGTGCGTATAAATGAGGCAGGGGTACGCAGGCGGGGTAATAAGATCGTGTGCTTGCTGTGTGATGTACTTCGCAATCCTTCTCGTTTATATCTTGGCTCGCTTATCATACAAGCAGACAAGTCGGAAGCAGGCGCTCAAGCCCCCCAGGGAAAATCAGCGTCTGCTATAGACAGTGAGACAGCCAGCGCTAGGCGAAGCGCTAGAATAGGGTTGTCGGTCCTCGATGACTTCTCTGCATGAGCTTTAGCAGACCCCCATGTCCCTTGCGTCTCGGAACATTCGGCCAGAGTGGCCAAATAAAACGCGAGCCTCTGTCTAGGCCCCGAACGCCTAACCTAGACACATCAGAGCAGCACTAACTACCGGAATAGACGCTTACCTTGGGTAGAAGGTAGGTAACCAGGGCCGACTTAGCCGTTGGCAGTGAGCTAGATAGCTAACACCCAGAATGTACAGATTACGGAGTACCTATATTGGAAATAAAACAAGGCGTGTGGGCAGCTGAAAGGTCATCGGCCAGATCGTACTGCTTGCTATTAGTGTGCTGCTCAGTGTTTCTTTGACAGATTGGACCTGGCAGATCCGGGTAACTCGTACAGGTCTTGGGCAGAAGTATACGAATTTTGAGATAATGAAACTCGGAAAAGGAAAAGATCGCTCACAGCTCAAGGGCTAACTTGGCAAGTATAGTACCCATGCAAGATCTTTTCTCCTTTAATGTTTGGACATACATATATATGACCTTTTGTATTTCGTGTTCATGGTTGCTTCTATGTCCATTACACCTTTTCTTACAATGGACATGGTTTTATAGCTTTTACTGTCGAGCACGCAGCTCAAACTCTATCTTGATCGACCGCGGTAACTCGTCCCATTCGACGGACCTCCAGTGCCCCATTTGAAGCATTCTCCAGCCGTGCAAGTCAGATCAAACCAGTTCAACACCACCGTCTCGTTGGTACCGATATCATGTGTTACATTTAGAGCGCTCGTCGCCTCGAACCAGTCGTTGCCATAAGTGTACCTGGTCCAATTGCTCTCGGGCCAGTCGGGGGTGACACTCGTGGGCGTGTCGCTGAGCCCGAAGACGGCGGTCCATTCCTTGACGGCCTCTCCAAAGTTTGTATAGTTGAGCACCTGGTCGGCGGTGCCGTGGAAGAGTTGAAACTTGGGCCGCCAGCCGTTGTAGCCCGGATAGGCAGCCTGGACGATTGCCTTCCACTCCGCCCCCGTGTGCGTGACCTGGCCGGTGGCGCAGGCGTCGCTCCAGACATCATAGCCATCGCCCGCGAAGCAGCCGAACGGGACGCCCGCCCACGCCGAACCGGCCGCGAAGACGTCGGGATAACTGCCCAAGAGCACCTGAGTCATCATGGCCTAGATGGTAGTAGACGCCGGGTCAGCATTGTTACCTACTACTTGGTCTAGCATCTTCGTCCCTCCTTCTTTAGGTTGGTCCTATGCTCGACTTACGCCTGATGATATTCCCGTCACAAAGACTCGGCTTGCATCTCCATTGTACTTTTCGAGGGTCCACCGCACCATACTGACTATGCCTAGACTATCGCCGCCTCCATCGTGCGTCAGGGTCTCATTGGACGACACATCCCAGCATTTGTCCTCGAGGTTTGGACTATCCGGGTATATGACGATATACCCGTACTGGTCAGCCAAGCTGGCGTACTGCGAGTAGGCAAACGTATCATTTGCAGCACCGTGGCACCTATATATGACTGGGTATCAGCCGAGAAACAAACACAGATTCAATGGGGCTCAAATCTTGCTTCTCCCATGAGATCTAGATAGAGAAAAACGGAGACAAGTGCCTACCAATGTGGGTTGACGAGTATAGGCGGGCTCTCGGCAAGTTGATCAGGCACGTAAATGTAAAACCCCACGTTTCTCGGGTTGGGACCAAAATCCTCGGTGACGAGCGTGAAGTTTGCAGCGCTGCAGGTTGGCACGACGCTGGATAGCGACAACAAGACGGCGGCGCCTACACCGGCTTTGAGCGACACCATGATGTTTAATTGCTCTTGTAGTCAATTGTATGTAAGAAATGTTGAGAGGTCGGTCAATGGGTGGGCTGGCATGAAATGAAGAGAAAGTGGTCAAAATGGTTGGTATATATTCTACATCATCGTGCCCATGATACATCTTGCGGTCATTCATCCCTTTATCTATCTTTCTATCTACAAGCGGCTCGCTCGCGTCACCACCTCTATACATAGATAGCTCCCCGAGATCGAGCTGGCGATCGGGGAAGCAGCAGTCGCAGCCACGGAAGCACGAGGCCCGCAGCCATGGCGGGTTAGGTTCGTAGTATGTAATGTAGATGCACTGCACCGAGGTCACAGACCCGAGGCGACATGAATCAAATCCCTCTCTCGTTCCAATTGTCCCGCCAATCACCGAGGCAGACGACAAAGAGAGAGACTGACTGACATGTTTGTTTCTGTGGATTACTTGGGGTCTTGGGGGAAAATGTCTCGTCGGATCCAAGGGTGGCTGGCCTACATTACAGGGTGTTCGGTAAAGCACAATCTGCTCGGTACGAATAAGTAAGTGTAAGTACGTTGCCCCGCCTTGCGCATCTTTTCTTATGGCACTGACTGACGGTCTCTACATAATCCTTGATTCATGCAATATTGGTGGCGATGTAGAACAAAGACCGACTATAAATAATAATGCAACATTAAGACAGTGTCTATATATATCGTTATTAATCGTGCATAAAAAGACTATATTTACTTGTGCCGGTCATCACGATTAATACGTGACTGGCGACTTGAATCCGGCCTATTATGAGCCAGTGAAAGAAAAGGAAATGAACCAGTTACCTATGAGGTTGTTATTACTTGAATTAAATAAGGAAAAATAACACAGGTCAAGAAAAGACATAATATATAAATAAAAGAGAACATAGTTGGCGACTTGGGAGAGAATCAAAAAGAGAAAAAAAAGGCCAAGAAAAGAAAGAAAAAGAAATAATGGAATAAAAGGTCAAAAAGCTGGACGAACAGGTGATCGAAACCTGGACCTTCCGCAAGCTTGCAGCTGATTACTCAATGCAAAGCGGATGCTCTACCACTGAGCCATTCGCCCGCCGATTGTTGGAAGCAGGGCCGCTAATGCAAAATATGTAGTATGCCACCGCACGGCCCCAGTGTAGCGGGCGGAGTCAGTCCAGCGTTTAATCTCCATAGCAGGCCCATGTTCCTATGCACTTACACATATGGCAATGAACACAGCATGTTCATGAAGTCCGTACAAACGAATCTGTGAATTTGTTCCTTTCCCACAGATTCAGCGTTTGCCTTCGGGGCAGATTTTATACTTTAGTAGAACATGAGTCACAATCGAAAAGATGCATCTCTGACCGCAGCTGGAGACCTTATTTCGGCCGAGTGCCCAAATAATACGTACCATGGACATATATATATATATATATACCAGACAGAAAGCCAGTCCCTCACGCAGCCAACTGATCTTCTCATCCAAAATATTTAATTTGAAACGAACGACGAGCACAACATGTCAAGGCCGTGTCGGCTCTTCCATTAAAGGGGGGAACGGGGGACAAAGCTGCAAGACGGAATGATTGCCTATGATGAACCGGCGGCAGTCTCATTGCACAGATGCACCAGCTTATCGCAACAAGGCCTGATTTGGAAACTGAGGCTATCACGAATCTACCGTCTTGTATTTCTCTTTCTCTTTCTCTCTCTCTCTTTCTTTTCTTCAGAGCCTGAATATTCACTGACGACAAGTGTGTCAATGAATGCATACCTCTGTATATACAGATATACCAACTGTTTCGTTATTGTTAAAACTACCTCTACGACATCTGTTATCTCAAGCATGTCCTTCATATGCATAATTCATCATTCATGTACATTTATGATATCCTCCCTTCTGTCTGCTAGGAAATGAGCCAATTCCGGCTCAAATATCGGAACAGTCGTACTACTCGCTGTGTGTTCAACCCTAAATAATCAAGGAAGGCCCTGCTCATTTGCTCGTCCCCAAGTTTCCTTCAAAGATGCTCCCATGAGTGACGTATTTCCCGTGAGTCACTGCCCCCCTTGACAGGAACATGGAATCGACTGCCCAGATCGGTTGCTGGCTTCTGAGATGGGCTAACCTCACGCTTCCGCAATATGGCCAACCTTATGGTCCCACCATTCCTTCCACTCAACAACCTTCTTGCCAGTCCGGGCCTCCTCGGCCGCAAAGACCATTGCATGACTGCGTATTACTTCTTCGAGTGTGCATCCGATGAACTCTGCCTGTGCTGCTGGGGCCGCCCATTTGTGATTTTTGACGTGGTCCACAGCCAGGATGAATTGCCTGGTCAAGCCCACGTCGCCACCTCCATGCCCCAGGCTTTCCAGCCGCGGCTTGAATGTCTTTGTCTCTCCTGTCCGGAAATCCTCAATCGTGATGGTCTTGGAGTCTGCGTAGATTTCCCCTTCCGTCCCATAGATGTATGAGTAGCGGTCGCACTGTTTTTTGGTCTGTGCAATCATGTGGAAGGTTGCCTGCTTCGACCCTCGGCTCTCGACGGTGCCAGTACCAGCCGTGTCTGAAGCACTGGGCTCATCGTCCCAGGTCATAGTCACCACCTGCTCATCACAGACGTCATTGTCTGACTCGAACACACACCTGCCAAACCAGTTCTGTCCGTCGATTTCCGACTGTGGCGTCGACTCGTTGTAATCTTCGGCTAGCTTCGACATCAAGACCTGTTGTCTTTTGCTCTCATCGAAGCTTTCAATGTCTGGCATCACGATGCTGACAGGCCAGTGCGTATTTCCAGTCTCGAGGCCTTGATGTTTGGGACCGACATAGATCCTCTTGCTCGAATACATGCACTCCTTCTCAATGGGACAGCTCAAGCAGTTGGTGGCGCCCCCGGCAGCTCTCGGCTTTCTGCTCTTCTTGTAGAACTGCAGCGAACCAGAAGACGAGACGGTCGAAGGCAAATGCGGCGGCGCGTTCGAACCAGGAGCTGGCGAGCACAAGAGCCACAGGATGACGTCGATATCGTGACAGCTCTTGGTCAGGAGTGACGGTGCCGTGGTAGATTCCTTCCTCCAGTTGCCACGCACATAGCTGTGGGAAAAGTGCCACCACCCCACCGGTTCCGTATGGACCACGCTTAGAATGTCGCCTATAGCCCTCTCTTCGAGGAGAAGCTTTCGTAGCATGATATTGTGGGGGCTGTACCGCAGGACGTGGCCGATCGAAAAGACCTTGTCCTTCTGGTGCGGCGCGAGCGCCTGAAACATGTCGACGCAATCGTCAAGCGTCGTCGCCAGGGGTTTCTCGCACATGATGTGCAGACCCAAGGGTGTCAGTCCCACGACAACGTCGTGGTGCATCTCGTCTAGGACGCAAACAAAGGCGGCATCAACGCCCTCGGGCACGGTCTCGCCGGCGCTCTCGCGCTCCCTACGTCGAGTCTCCCACGTCACGAAATCTCTCCAGTCAGCAAACAGGGAGCCCTCGGGAGCATCATCGGCGCCATGGATGAAGTTGCGACCAAACTGCTGCCGCTTATACTGGTCGGGCTCCGCGACGGCGACCACCACACCGTTGCTGGATGACATGGTTGCCCTCGCATATGTCCGACCCCGCGATCCGGCGCCGATGATGAGTATCCTCGGCGGGCTTGCGGACATGGGCGGAGGCGGAGGAGGAAGCACCGAAGTGCCGTCGGCCTGCTGCGAGAGGTCCGTTGGCCCCTCGTCCACGATATTGTGAGGCGCCATTGCGATGCAGTACAGGATGAATGTGGCTATAGGACTTTGATTGTCGTAGTTGTCAACTGAAGAAACTCGGTTCAAGAGCTCAAGAGTCGTTTCAATTCCGCAGTAGGATCTTTAGAGATAAACGTCCAATGTCACCGTCCCGACTGGATGCTACGTAGCAATGGCACTTGGGTACTGTGAGGTACGTACCAGCGGTGTTGGTAATCGGGACTAGCGCCATCTTAATTGGCTCAGGGGTAGCCAAGCCAGGGGAGATCCTTAGATTCAACCAGGTGTATTCGCACCTAGGCATGTGTATACACACTGGTGGACTGTATGGTATGGTATATCCACGCCTGGACATGGGATCCAGGTAGGTTAGACGAGGGTTTTTTAAGGTAGCATGACTACCAATGGCTGGCTTATCTTTTGACGTTCTGATGCAGTCCCAGCACTTGAGTTTCTCGAAAAGCTGCCTTTGCTTTCATCGGGCGATGATACGTGAGCCCGGATCGAGCAAGTTGTTTCGACAATCTAGTTCATTTGGATGGAATCCCAGCCTGCATACTTTCTATATCACGCTGACTCTAGACTACGATTTCTACAGTTTGGATCCTAGACTGTCTCTTCTCCTCGGCAGCAATCTCATCTAATACCGGTCTGAGCGCGTCGGCTCGTTCTTGGGAGAACTGGCGAGTGGGAACCTTGTGCTCAAACAAGAGGTCAAGCTCAGCATAGCTCAAGCCTTGCGACTCGGGTAGCCGGAACCAGGTCCAAACCAAGAATAACAAGTCGATCCCCGCCCAGAAGAAGCCGCCTTTGGCTCCCCAGTTCCAGTCATTCCGGCCGACGATCTTGGGCATGATGGCATTGTTGACAAACACTGCGCAGTTGTAGCTCGCCCTGGCAATGACCACCGTCTTGATCCGCAGCCGGGTGCTGGCTATCTCGGCGAAGACGGCATAGCAGATCGGGCCCAGGGACATTTGGAACAGGAACAGCATGAAGATGATGAGACCTCCGACCGCCCAGCCAGCCCCAGTGTTGCTCTCGGGGGCAAGGCCCAAAAACCCAATAGCCATGAGGATCGCGAACATGGAGGACAGGCCTGCCAGATAGAGGAAGCGCCGCCCGAAATACGTCATGAGCCACCATGCGAGGATGCATCCGATCAAGCCGACGCAGCTCTGAACGACATTCAAGTTGAACGCCGTATCTGTCTCTAGCCCAGCCCTCTCCATGAACTGGACGCCGTACCCCATGAACGGAACCCCACAGAATGCTTGGGTGATGCAGACCATGGCAGATATCTCGGTCCTGCGCAGATCACTCTTTTGGAAGCAATGCCAGTAATTCGTTCCAGCCTGGGCCTGCCTTTCAAACTTGTCCGTCACAACCATCATCTCGACGTGCGAATCAACGTCAAAGTCCATGCCGGGCCGAGGGCTGGTCAGCCTGCGCATTGCAGCCTTGGCCTCTTCTAAGCGGCCTTGGCGTACGAGCCACCATCTGCAATCCGTTTCAGTCTTTTGGTGCCCGCGGCTTTTTTTGGGGGCGGACTTACGGGGACTCTGGGCAGAGGAGTGTTGCGATCACGACTGGTATGGGCCACAGCCATTGAAGCGCAAATGGAATACGGTATCCCCACTCACTGTTGATGTTGAGCAACCCGCGAAGGATGCCGGTAGACAGCAACCCGCCGAGGACCCAGCAAATGTTGACCCAGGAGGTCATGTATGCTGCAGGATTTTGTTAGTCCGAACCGGAAATCTCACGGAAGAAAGAGAGTGATGATGTGTGGTACCTCTCAGATGGGTCGGGCACAGATCGCTGTGGTCGAGAACCGGTCAGCTCGTCAACGTCCTTCACTGTGTTTGAATATAGGGTTTTCGGTTTACTGACGCGGCGTAGGAAACAGCGAGCGTTTGAAAAACACCCCACGGTAGACCCTGTATGAATCCACCGGCGAGATACATGTTCAAACTCGTAGAAAAGAAGGGGATGAAAATGGCGGCGACCATAGCCGTCATGGTGGCCACCATTGTCTTCTTGTACCCAAGCCACTCGGAGAGATAGCCGTTGAGAATCAGGCCAATGATGCAGCCGACCTGGGTGCCGTTCAGAATGATCGTCTGCCAGCGGGCAGAGACCAGGCGGCCGCCGTCGGGATCGACCTCGTCGCCGAACTTGTTCTTGAACTCGGGGAAAGGGAAGAAATTATTCATCAACGAAGTGTCGTACCCCTCCATGATGACGGCAAGCGAAATGAAGAAGGAAAAGGCAATGGCCTTTTTCCAAAAGAGGAAACCCTCCACCAGGCTCATATTCCGCTCATCGTACATGGCGGTGGTC